CAGCAGTGGGAACAGAGATGACCACCTGCTTAAAGTCCTTGAGGGAAAGGTTCCATTGTGAGGGGGCTGCTTCTTCCTCCTCAACATTTGTCCTTTGTTTTGGAGCCTCCTCGAGTGAGTTCTTCCCATCTGGGACCTCCATGGTGTTGTTCTGAGCAGGGAGAGGCTCCGGGGTGCTCTGGCCTGAGGGCACTTTCTCTTCAAAGGCTGAGGGAATAGTCATGCGCTGTCTCCACAGTTTATGCAGCTGCTTTACCACTTGATGCTGATAATGCAACTGTGATAATGGAGGAAAAGGTAAACAGTGAAGTATGCCTTCGTTCTTCAAACCCAACTGTTAAAGCCTCCGTGGCAGCTCCAGAGACCAAGGGATGCACCAGCCCCATGGGTCTGCCCTCTCTGCTATTTGTTGCGTAGCCCATCAAGTATCAAACATCACCTCAGGATTCTTCTGGTGGAACAATTCTTCCTCCATGGCACAGGCATCCACAGGAGATGGGCTGCGCTCTGGGGTCCGAATTTGGTCAAGAAGTTCATTCAGACAGTCTTCCACTATAGCAGCACCTTCTCGAGCACTCAGGTCACTCTGAGGCACCACAACAAGAACATGTGTGAGTCCCCATTCCATATCCAAACACTCCAACAAATTCCCACCCATGCCAGTAACCACACATATACATTATATAGGGTTACAAGGACAAGAATAACTGCAAACCCTGCTGAGCACAGCAGTACTCCCAACAGCTTTCCAAATAAACCCTACAAATCCTCCCCCAAACTATACTTTTCAAAGCACAGTGTAATTTTCAATTTATACCTTAACTGCTATCTTAGTGTAAGACACAATCCCATCCCCACTAAGTAACTAATGAAATTAATTACCAACAGAAAATTCATTCATTCTTTAAAGGACCAGTGTGAACACTTTAGGAGGCACAGTCATGTCTTTAATAACATTACAACAGACTGCAGAGTTCCTCCATGTTGTTTACCAAACCTGCTCCAGTATGTACAGACTTTCTGTAAATCATCTCACTCTCAGCCCTAATTACACAGCAATAAAAATACCACATCGTCCACTCCCACCCTTATCCTCTATTTGCATATGAAGTTCAAAGCTCACAGTTACCCAGTTACATGCTTGGTTACCTCCAGCCTCTCTCTGAAGTCAGCCAATTTATCCTCACACACAGCAATTCCCCAAAGGGTCACCTGCAGCAGAGCTCCTCCTAATAACAGAGGATGTGTCCTAAATTCCCAGGACTCGCTGAAAATGCCTGCTCTCTCTGACTTGAAAAGAAAGGAAAACCTCAGAGTTTCTCCAGGCAAAATTACACCTGAAATAAGAGAGAAAATGATCAGTCTGCAAGAAGCCACCTGGCTAACTTGACCCTTTTCCAGCCCTACCCCAATGTCCTTATCTCTCTTTCCCCACTGCTTAGCTGGTTATCACACTTGATCCAGCTATTTTCCTGCTTCCAGATTTACTCCCAGTCCCCATGTTACTGGTGTTATTTCCCCTGCACACTCCTTTTACTGTGAGCTCAGTCTCTCTCCAGCAGATTATGCCCCATTTACCATCAGAAGATGATTCACTTGTCAATATCCCACCCATTTACATTCAGAGTAGGAGCAAACTCCTTGCCTTTAAGTTCCATGAGAGGAATCTGCCTCACACAGCTCTTTTGGGGTGAGTCAGCTCTGACACCCAGGGTGGCTTCCTCAGGAGAATCACCCAGCAGTGCTCTGCCATTAGTCAGACTCCACATCTCAGGTAACTCCCAAACACCTGCTCTCCAGTCAAGGTACAAAGGTCTTGGAGACCAACAGGTCTCATACCTGGTCTGGTATCAAAGTAAAAACATGGCATCCTCTTCCCCTTGGTTTCTCTGGAGGGAATCTGCTGGGGAAGCCTCATCCAGCTGTACCAGATGGCAGCTGTGCCATCATTGCTCACTGTCAGGGAGCTTTCAGCCTCCTCACCAGTCAGACTCTCAAAGGTGAGCCGGGCAGCAATGCCAATTTCGTCCTACAAGGATGAAAAAAGATAACAGTTTCTACTCTATCTCACAGGATTTATCCTACATGAAGTCATAGCTCAAATAAGGGGCTGGGCCTTGGTAGGAGAACTTGTAAGGCAGCTCCAATGAAGTGGCCATTATACAGAGAGAACCTGGGAATCTGAGGTTCACCCCACAGCCAGAGCAACCTCTCCTGTCCCTAGATCTCTCCAGAGCAAATACAGGGATACTCCATTATGTTCAGAATAAATCACCCATTCTGTGGCCTGGGAGTGACACTCATTGTACAGCTGTGACTTGGGAACTCTAGCAGGCCTAGCTTGACTTAACAATTAAAATCTCACCATTACCATGCAATAAGTGGTGCCCTGGATCCAACGAGCAGGCTGGCCACAGAAAACTAAGGATGGATGCATCTCTCCTTCTGGAGACACACTGCAGGAGGCACTTAAGGGGTCACTGCTAAAGAAAACAAGAGCCAGCATTTTCATGGAGTGAAACTCACTCCCAGAGAGGGGAGAACTAGAGGTGATTTACAAGACCCTGTAAGAAATAATCCCAAGCAATGCTTTTCCAAACAGTTGTCACTTTAAGGACAGAGCCCTGCAAACGTGGTGAATTTCAGCTAGAATCATGTCACCATCAAGGTGGACAGAACAGCCAGAGTATTAAAGAATGAGACCTACCCAAGGTACATGAGTGAAGAAGGAGAAGAGGCCCTCAGGCTGTGCCTGTTACAGATGGAAAAAAGGCAAATTAATGATGGAATGCTGGAAAAAGGCAACCAAATGGAGGTAATTTAGAGCAGAATCCCCACCCTGCCTAATGTAAACTCTGGAGCCATATAGGGAGGAAGACTAGAGGCCTCAAAGAAACTTTTCTTTGATTCTTGCTCCTTCGACATAAGGCCCCACAGTGCAAAGATTCCTAAACCTGATGAATATGCCTTTTGTTGTGCCCCAGTGGAGACTCCTCTCCATTCTGGGTAAGAATAGCTAAGGATACCCTTATAGACTGGTGGTGCATAGCCAAAATTCTTTATTTCCTTAATATTTATTTATTTTGACTTTCTTAAGTAAAACTTACAGGGTCTCAATCTCTTCAGAAGTGGTGGAATCTGGAAGAGCCTCTGCTGAGACAGATGTGAAAGGCTGCCCTTTACCAATCACCTCCAGTCCCTCCAGATCCTGAACATACAGAAAAATGACCAACCAATGATTACTCTCTTTATACAGAAGGGAAGTTAAAATACCAGACAAATACACTGACTCAGTCAAGTACAGTGATGTACAGATCTTGCTCCTACGAAGGTCTATAAAGGTATCTAAAGAATGTTCAAGAGGCATGTGAAGGAACCAATTCTGGGTCTCCCAAGAATCCTAGATGATTGCATTCCCCACTACAAATCATTCATGGATGGGAAAAGTTTCCTTCAGACACATTTCTTACCCCCAGAGCCAGGCTGAAAAAAGAAAACAAGTGAGGTTTGTTTGGTGTTTAGGAGAGGCCACCTGCATTCAGGAGATTATTTCAGATGTGTGTCTTCCACATGGGTAGGGGTGTCCTCCCTCTGCCCCAGGGCACCAAATCAAAGTCCTACACCAGTATTTGGCAGTATTTTATTGCCTAGGTCCTGGCAGCTGCATGCTGCTGGCTTGGGGTCCCTGTTTTGAGGCTCCTAGACCACTCCATGAAACACTTTGGGAGGCCATACAGCTCTTGCACTGCTGTGGCCCTTTGGAAATGTGGGAACTTCCAAGAAAAGTGCTGTGGGGCAAAGTTTTAGATTCCTAATGCTTTTTTCAGATCCAGGTCTTGACAACTTTATGTTACTCTAGAGCATCTGACAAGAGACACAATGTCCTTGCTCCTCTGGTCTTACCGGCTTATAAAAACCCATCTCCTCCAGGACAGGTTTTAGCTCCTGACGTCGATGTTTCAGGAAAAGACTCTTATCCACGGTTAGATGGCAAGGAATCTTCGTTGGAGGCTTCAGACCTGTGGAAATACCCATGCAAGAGCTCACTCTCTACATACCCACATGTCCATTAAATTTCACTGCCAAACTTTGGCCTTGTGGTGTTTTAAAGAGGAGATCCAACAGATGACTGGCGCCCCATTCCTGTGGAATCACCTCTCTGCAGTGTCCCCTTACCTGTTTCCATCTGGATAGTGTGGGGTTTCCCCACATGAGTGATTGGCTGTGGGTACCCACGTTCTGTCCGAGTCAGTGTCAGCATCAGACCACTAAGTTCATCTCCAATACGCTCAGGTTGGCTCCAGAACTCACTTCCTACTCGGTATCCCTAGGGTGGAAAACAAGGCTCCCACTGAGACAGAGTCATACAGCTGCCTGCTATTTTCACAGGAACTAGAAGCTAACAAGAAGGGCTCTAACCCTGCTCATATGAACATTTTAAAAGCCTATGAATTATCCCTTTCTGCAAAATTTCTATCACGCTGCTGTCAAAGACAAAAGGATTTCTTCTACCTAGTGCTACATGAAGGTTGAATGATACTAAAATAAAGCCTCACATGAATGCAAAATCTTGGATAGTGCTATAAATGTAAAAAAAAATAATTTTAACACAGGATACTCCCATAATCCTCCTGCCTTATCCATACCCCTCTCTCCATGGCAATCACTAAAATCCGAGCCTGAAGCTATCAGATATTTCTGTCCCTGGAACAGCAATTGTGACAAGTCCACATGCCACTTCCCAGGGCACAACAGTCTTTGGTGAGAATCAAGAAAATGGCCCTTGCTTACCACCACTTTCCTCTGATTAGCGGAGATAGCAGAGTTCATGTTTTTATTTCTAAAGTCCCTGAGAGCTGTGCTCACACACCAAGCTGAAGGACTTAGAGTGGCCCTGATAAATATCTCCTGACAGCTCTTCTGAGACATTACTCATAACACCAGTGTCTGCTCTTTCACAAGAGCAGCACAATCAGGACACGGAGGAAGTGTGGCCCTCACCTTTCCAGGAAGTAGGGCAGGGAGACTCCGGTCAATGAGGTCACATTCTTCCCGGATTTGCCTGTAATTGTCTGAGATGCTCATCTGCAATTCATTCTCTGGCCTCTGGAGAATTTCTGTAAAGAGGAGACGTCACATCAGTGGTGCTGCACTTCTGGGCACACCCTTTGTCACCAGTATTGTTCACCTGTGACCCACTGCCAAACCCACTGTCCTTCCCTCAGCCAGAGCCACCAGCTCTTCCCACCACATCCACAGCCACTAGCACACGCAGTGTGGGAGCTCTGAGAATATGGAAGTAGACTGCAATGGCAATAGCATTACTTCCAGTGGGCAATGACCACTGCAGCTTGGTCTGGGGCCATCGAGCTCCCCCACCTGCACAAAGAATTTCACAGAAACCTCTTCAGCTTTTCACACCTCCTAGGTATTTCTCCTGCTTTTTCCTGATTGCCATATGACGGCTCCAGTTCTGCAGAGCTTTGTCCTGTGCCAGTTGGGCCTGAGGAGCCTTTTTCTTCTTCTTCTCTCCTCCATGTTTCTCTTTTAAAGCTGCTGCAGTAACATCTGGATGAGAAACCTCAATAACATCTGCTAACTGATGAGAGAGGAAACATTAAATGAACCTCTCCATGCACACCAAAAAAAAAAAAAATGGGAGAGGGGAGGAGAAAAGAATTCTTCAGATTGACAGTGCTTTTGCATTATCACTCTGAAAGGAACAAAACCAGGGCACAGGGAGCAGACTCAGAAACAACGGAAGGATTTATCTGAGTCATTAGACTCGAGCAATGGCATTGCGGCAACACCCCTGACGCCATCAGCAGAGCACAGGGGGAACAGGAAGCCTCTCAAATTGTTCCCTCCATGACCTGGTCCTGCACACAGGACTCCAAAACCTGCTGGTGCAGTTTCTCTGAAGGCAAACCCTTCCCACAGAGAGTGACTAGGCTGGGAAAACCACACCTTAGGCCTGATCTGCTCCTGATAGGTGCCGGAAAGCATTGGAAGGTACTAAAGGCACTACACTCCACCTCTGGAAAAGTGCCACACAGCAGCATTTTCCTAACTTTACAAACCAACCTCAGTGTTTCCTCTGGCCAAGGCTTCCATCTTAAACTCCTGGAGACTGCCCAAAATGTGATGGGGAAGGATCTTTTCATGGCCATCAGCAAACTGTCTTCGTCCTATGACATACACACAAAGCCACCCAACCCCAGAGTCAGGTCATTAAAATTTGGCTTAGCAAAAGCAAAATCTAGAGATAAGATGTGAAGTTTAAACCTACCAGGAAAAGTCAGTGATTCCTTGGGTGCTTTGGAGGAAGCAGGATGTGCTACGAGATACGACACCTTCTTGGGCTCTTCGGGTTGGTCCTTTCGAACAAGGTATTTCTTCTCAACTGGCTTTCTCCCAGCATCAGGGGGAAGGTGTGGAGCATGAAGCTTCAGGAAGTAAACAGTCACAGTGCAGTTAGGTACACACTGACTCACCTTGAGTCCTTCTGATCCTTTTAGGATACGCACAGAAGTCATATCAGTACAGTTCCTCTGAGAGCCCTGTGAGTACTGCAGAAGGACTTTTCACAAGAGCATGGAATGACAGGACCAAGGAGAATGGATTCAAACCAAGAGTAGGTTTAGATTAGATATCTGCTATTAGGAAAAAAATCTTCCCTGTGAGGATGGTGAGGCACTGGCACAGGTTGCTCACAAAAGCTGTGGCTGCTCCATCCCTGGAAGTGTTCAAGGCCAGGCTGGGCAGGACTCGGAGCTAGTGGAAGGTGTCCCTGCCCATGACAGGGGGTGGAAAAAATGGTCTTTAAAGTCCTTCCAACCCAAACCTTCTGTGATTCTGATTCCTCCCCTACAAGGCACAGCTATGGAGACACCAGCTGAGTCCCACTCCTCTGGTTTATAACAGGGGCAGGGAAATGAAGATTTTAAATCACTTTCCCAAGAGATTTCTGCTGCTGAGTAACTTGGTGTCAAATGCTTCCACTCACACACTGTGACACTAGTTTTGGAAGGAAAGTCATAAAGCTACTAAACAACTTACAGGTCTTATTGGACCAGGAAGTTGGAGATGTAATTTTGAACAGGCAGGTGATTTATCCTTCCATTTTAAAGGACTGTGTAAGGATCAATAATCCTTTACTTTTAGCAACTGAACCTGATGATCTGACATTTTATGATCATAAAAAGCAGGACAGACAAACTGGAATGAGAACTGAACTGCAAAAGTGGGTTTTGGCTTAAGAAAATGGGCAGCACCCTCTGTTAAATACACAGAGTGACAGCTAAGGCAGCTGTTTCTATCAGTAAAAATACTCATACATACTTTCTCCAGATCCTCCACCTTAATTGCAAGTGCCTGGATGTCCTCTCCTTGCAGAACACATGGCACAGGCTCAGACTCTTCTGCAATTTTTGAGAGGGGCAGTTCAATGGTCTTCTTGCCTGAAAAACAGATGAAGAGACGTCCTCTTCAGTCTCCCAGGGAAACACCATCTTCCTCTTTCAGCCTGGTTATTTTCCTTCCAGCTGAAGTATGGCTTGGGATTATTTGTTTTCAAAGTTGCACAGAACAGTTACACTCAGCATGGAAATAAGAAAAATCAAACGGAGAAGCTAGAAGGCCCAAAGTGGGTCAAGCAGGGTTCAACTGTCTCATGCTTTATTCTAGATGAGAGACAATGGATGAGATAAATACAAATCCCTGCAGGCAGAACAACAAATTCCTGGGGAGTTTCCTGCTCCAGCTACTAGTGCAATCACACAGCTTCCCTGTGCTCATCCAGCACAACTCAGGTAACAAACCACTGGATTTTCAGAAGCTCCTGAAGAGCGGAAGAGCTCTGAAACAGCCAAACCCAGGCAGAGCCAGGAGCGGGGCAGGGCCAAGCTGGGGGGATCCCCCGGGGGCTGTTCCTCCCCTTATCCTGCGCGTCCGTCCCGCTGGGACCGGCTCCTTTTAAAGCAAACCCCTAGACTAAGGCGAGGGGAGTCCCTGGGTGAGAAGGGGCTGTTTTTGCTGC